CTTGTTGTAAGAGCAGGTTCTCAGTCTCCATCTTTCAGCTCATTTGCTCCGCAAGCTTTAGAGACATCACAGTGACCTGGGATCCTGAGTTCATCAATACTTCTCATGCTTGTGAGACAGTAGTACTGCAGCACAGTCTCTTTCCATGAGCAAGCATTTTCATTGAGAAAGCAACAGATTCAGGTGTCAGCTTCAAGACTCTTAAGAAGGCTGTTGCTGACTCTGTCTGTGACTTCTCAAATTCCTATTTTGATTTGTTCAGACAGTTTGCGCAGAGATATCCTGGTTTAGAACAGATGAAGCAGAGTCTCTTTTTCTTAATCTCTCTGTTATACACTCTGTTCATGAGAGCTTATGAAGCTCTCTCTCTCTGCTCAGCAGTCAGATGTGAATCTCTCTGTGTCTTGTCATCTTTTTCTGATAAACCTGTTCTCTGTTGTTCTGACCCTTGTGAGACTGGTCAATGATCTGCTCTCTGCAGGTCTGTGGCTCTCACAGTGATCTGCAAGTGATGAATGAGAGTCATCAGTTTCTTCAGAATCAAGAGCTTAGAGCCTTGCTCAATGAGCTTGTCCTGCATGTCTTTATCCAGTCTCTTTACAAATATCATCATTCAGGTCTTGTTTCAGAACTCTGTTTTCACAGGTCTCAATTCACATCACAATTTCATGAAGTGCTGTGAGTAGTTTTCATCAGATTTCTCATCTCTTTTTCTAATGTTGATGATCACAGTTCAGATGTTCTCTGTTCAGCTTGCAGAGTTCTTCAACTTATTCTCTAGATAGGTCTTGAGAACAGATTATTGAGATCTCTCATGATCATTCTCTAGATGATCCAGCCAGTCCTTGACTTCAGTGTAATAGAGGCCTGTCATTGCATAGGTGACAGCTTCTTCATCTTTCATATCACACAGCTGGGCTTGCAAGTCAATTTCAAATACAAACTCATAAAAGCTTTTATAGATTGTGGTTCAATAGATGGTCTTAAGTGATTGCAGCTTGAGAAAGTTTCTTTTCAGTTCATGAGTGTCTCTGAAGATCATGTCTAGAGACTCAGTTCAAGAGTGTTTATAAGCAGTAAGCATTTCTTGTAGAAAAATAGCTTGATTCTGCAGAAGATGCTCAAGAATGTTCTTCACTGAGATTGGTTTGTTTATGGGTTCAGAGAGTTCCTCTGTCACAGATGCAGAGAATGATGTTCTGTGAGTGATTGGTAAGTTCTCTGGGACTTCTTTCACAGGGGTTATTCATGATTCAGATGGCTGCTCCTGAGTGTCTGCAGTAGGGTTCACAGGGGTTGAAGCACACAAGTTTCTAGTTCTTTCAGTCATAACAGGTGGTTGCTGACTGACTGAGCTTGAAATGTAAGAATAAGTGCTCACAGGTGATTATTCAGGTGTTTGCAGCTTGATGTGATATGTACTGTTAACTACTAGAAGTGTTCATGATAGAAAGATAAATGTAGAAATCAAGTGTATAATAGCATTCAAGCTGAGTTGTGAATAGTATTCGCGAACTCCAGTCTATATAGTTGTGTGTAGCCAAGGGCCGCTAGCTCTATTGGTTACGCGAGAGATAGGAATAGGGGTAAAGAATCCGCGAGGAGCGGGATTTCTTACACTTATTCAGTCAGTGTGAGACTGATGTATCTGAGAATAAAGTCTGTGAAATCTTTTCACAGTTAATATTGAAGATCTTTCAACATTGAAAGAATCAGAGAATAATTATCTCTGAGAAAACAGACAATGAATTATCTATGAGAGAAGACTTTTTCACAGAGTCTATAAAGTACTGTGAATGAAGATCAGTGATCTTCTTCTTCAAGAAGTTATCACTCACACAGAGAAGATATGATACTCATGATTAGAAGATATTAGTAATTATTAAATTCTTTAAGATCTAGTAATATTATCTTCAGAGTAGTAAGTACTCAGTGTAAGTTCTTACTAATTATATAAATCTGCATTACTTCTTGACAACAAAGAGCTTAACAGAATATCAAGTCAGATGAGTAGAGCTGCTTTCAGAGTATGATTTCTATATTCAATATCATTCAGATCAGCTTAACCCTGCTGATATACTATCTAGATAATCTAATTATAATATCATTGATACAGAGAAGAATTCTATAAAAGAATCTCTGTCATTACTGCAGAAGAAGCTGACTGCAGAGAATTGAGATTCTCTGAAGCTTGAAAACAGTGCTGAAGAGACAGCTGCATAACTCAGTATAGAAAATAAAAGAAAACTCAGATCTCTGTAGAGAACTGACACTGAAGATCATAAGCTTCTTATATTATATCTTACAATTATTAAATTAATAAAGAATGAAACAGTCTACAATCTTTTAATCTGACTACTTTTGAAATTCATTAATAAGTTATAGAAGAGGAACATCTCTACTGCAGCTTAAATTCAGAAATTGAAGAAGAAAGAATTCAGTTTGAACTTAAAAGAGACAGACTCTGAGTGAGACAGTGCTGCTAAGAAATCAAGTCACTGATAACTAGAAGAATATGAACTTCTACTACTGAATGATTCAGTCTTCATTTCTTATAGCAGAGTGATATGTCAGAAGTTATTAAGAATTCATTATAATAATTCTCATACAGAGTACTTTAGAGTAGAGAAGACTGAGAAGCTTCTAAAATATAAATACATTTAAAACAAGCTCTGAGCAGATGTCAAAGAGTATGTTAAAACTTATAATATCTATCAAAGAATAAAGATTCTGCAGTATAAGTAATATAGTGAGTTAGTATCACTGCCTGTTTCAAAGAGCTTATGATAGAATTTATTAATGAATTTCATAGTTGATCTGCTGAAGTCAACAAAAGTTAAAGAATATGACTTAATTTTAATCATTATTAATTACTTTACAAAGATAATCAGATATATCTCTACTTATAAAAAGATTAAAGCCTCTGAATTAACTGATCTGTTTTTAGATATCATCATTCATGATTATGATGCTCTGAAATCATTGATAATAGATTGAGAATTTCTCTTCATTAGTAATTACTGATCAGCTTTTTACTATTATCTTATAATAAGATATCTTCTCAGTACTGCATTTCATCTGCAGACAGATAATCAGACTGAATATCAGAATTAGACACTAGAACAGCATCTTTGAGTGTTCTGTTTATATTATCAGAATAATTAACTTAAACATCTTCTAACTGCTGAATTTATATATAATAATGTAAAGAATGTAATCTTAAAGATATCTTCTTTCTATACTTATTATGAATATAATTCTTCATTACTCAGTGACATCACAGATAATGTTTCAAAGAGAGAGATAGATAGTCAGAATGTTAGACAGATACAGAGAATGAAATATTTCTCAGTACTAGAAATAAAAGTGAGATTGAAACTTTTGAATAAAATTCATAAGAAGATGATAAAATGTATTTATTATGCTCAGAAGTAGCAGATGAAATACTATAATTAAAAACATCTTTCAATGAAGTTCTTAATAGAGAATCAAGTACTACTTTCAGTAAAGAATATCAAGATAATAAGATTATATAAGAAGCTTAGTAAGTAGTGACTAGAACCTTTCTCAGTAATAAGAGTAATAGATAAGTAGATATATAAGTTGAAATTACTCACAGAATTGAAATCAATTCATTCTGTTTTTCATATTTTCTATTTAAAGCTCTATAAGTAACATCTCAGAGCAGAGCTGTCTCAGCTGAATAATATTAAAATTGAGAGTGATATTAAATATCTTATAAAGAAAATATTGAATAAGTGAATACATTACAGTAAGCTTCAATATCTTGTTAAATAAGAAGATTATTTATTATCAGAGAATTTATAAGAATCACTTAAGTATTTGAAAAATACTGAGAAAGAGATTGTAAGCTATAAGACAGCTAGTAGAGACTGTTTCATTATATATCAGAGACATTAAGTAAGAAATACTGCTTAAGACTTCTTATTTTTCTCAAAGAGTTTTTTAGAGATAATCTTATAATAATGAGTCAGTATCTTATAAACTCTGTAGCACTCTTCTTCTATTTTCTCTTAAAGAGTTTTTTAGAAGTTTAATAAGACTATATAAGTATAAAATTTCTGAAGCAGTTAATAAGAAAAGAAAGAGATATTTGAAATTAATAAAAAAGATTAATATTAATTAATCTACAGACTGCTGCTAATCTAATGAGATTACAGCTCACTGAAAAAGTAAAAAGAGAAAATTTCAGAGTCTACTCATTAATAATCACACTCTTATTAAACTCATTCTTCATCATTGAAGTCTCTGATACTGATATCTTTATCTGTTAAGAAGTTAGCACTGCAGTACTGCAGAGAAGTATACTATAGAAGAGTATAAGAGATACTGAAAGTATTAACTTATTAACTTACAAAGTATCTTAGTTATCTACTTTAACTGAAGTAAGATTCTCTTCAATCAGTAATTGATCTCTGCAGTACTTTCAATGATAATACTGACTAATCTCTTCTTAAGATCAGTCATTCTGAGATGTTTTTTCATCTCAGAGACTTATACTTTTATCTTCTTTTACAGATGAGTAAGAGAGATCTTCTCAGTCTTAATAGAATTTGTCAATACTTAAAGCTCTGAGACTTTCACTCTGTACTGCTTAGATATCTAGACTTCTTATTAGAGCTGATATAATATCTTTCTATGAGATAATACTTACAGAGAGACAGAAGTTGTTATTACAGATATAATAGAAATAACAGAAGTAAGAGAAGAAGTGAGTATATAAAATTCCTCTCTTCTTCAGCTGCTTAACATAGTGCAGACAAGTAGTAGTGCTGATCAGAGGCTGCACTGAAGCCTTCTTATAGAGAGAAGATAAAGAAACTGCAGAATTCTGCAGATTCAACTCAGTAGCATTCTGAGCAGAGCTCAAGTGTGTCACAGAAGAGAAACTATAGATTGAGCTTCTTAGAGCTGCTGTCTCTGAAATCAAGCTCTCTCTGAGATTCTCTCTGAATGATCACATGAGGTCATATGTCATCATGTTGATTAAGAGAGAGAGCGGCGTTGCAACAGTGATAAGAGAAGCAGAGAAAGAACTAGACATGAATAAATTAATCAGCAGAAGAGATAACATCTCACTGCAGAGTACAGTGACTATCACTGCAGCTGTAAGAGAAGCAGAAGAAGAAGAAGAAGATATGACAATGAGAGCAGTGCTTCTGCAGCTCAGTGACACTGTTATCTTCATCTTCAACCTGGCTTTCTTAACAGTCATGAAGGCTGCAGCCACATCATGAAGACATTTATTACTCACTAGAAAATGTCAGAATAAGCCTCTTATTATCTTCTAAGAATGATGCTCTCATGCACTCACTATTACAGATGAGAAAGAGAAGAGAAAAATGTGTCATAGAGAGAAAAGATCTTTTCAAAAAATTCTATCACTACTGTTAACTTTGTCTCTAAAACACATCACTTTTACAGAGAATTTCATATATAGAATGAAATATAATGAGAGATCTATAAGTCACTTATTAACTACATTTTTTCATATTTTAAATTAATATATAAGAAACTCACTTATCATACATTTAATTTGAATAAAGATGAGAAAAGAAAGATCTACACAGTCAGCAGAAAAACTCATCTATTTCTTTATATTATATACAGTATATACACTGTTAATCAGTTGATAATCATTACTACATAATAAAGATAACTTCTAATTCAGTAATCTTGAGAGCATAGAGACTATACTCTTAAAGAGAAGAATATTATCATACTCTCAGCTATATCAAGACTCTGCTGTAATTTTACATAACTCATTACTTTCATATAGATGATTTCATCTCATCTGAACTGGTTTTCAATCACTCTATGACATCATTCAGATATATCATAGAAAGATTCAATTGATAAATATAAGAACTCTGCTTCTATACAAGATCAGCAGATTACTCTTTCTTGATAATAAGATATCACTGAGATATTGCTTCAGCTATTCTTACTTATAAAATAAGAGAAGAGTATCTGCTCATTGTCTATATAGAATAACTAGATGCTGACTTCTTATTAAAGAAGTCAGTGATTCATTTTTTCTTCTACTGAGATATATATAAGAGTTACTGTGTGTCTCATACAATCTTCTTAGTATACTAAGTATCATATCTGTGATATTCTCACAATAACTCTGTAGTCTATAAGCTCACTATTCAAGTAAGATAGTTAAGCTTACTTATACAGCTTCTCAAACAACTATCTCTATGTAATGTCACTGACTAGTCATCACTTCAGTTCTGTCATATTACACTTATAATAACTGTATATATCTGAATAATAAGATTAATAGATGATTGATTTTGACTTTGTACTGAAAATATCACAGAAATAATTTACTTAATCACTGAATTAAGTCATCTCTCTTTGAGCTTACACTGTAAGATAAGAGATATAATAATTAAAGCTTAAATATATTCTTAAAGCTGATACTTCTTAAGATAAGTAATTAATAACTGTAAATAATTTTAACTGTAAGAAAAGAGAAATATTTATAATATTCAGAAGTATTCTTACTAATTATACAGTGATAGAACAGAATAGATCAGTAATAAGTATAAAATCTCTGATATTTTAGTAAACTTACTATAATATGAATCTAAAGAGAAAAATGAGATTAAATTCAAACTTAAATATATTTGAAAAAGAGATACTGTCTGTGCTGTCATACTCTGCTCTTAACATATTTAATCTCTATGTATGAGATTAGACTGACCGTGTGACCGTGTCTGGGACCAGGACCAGATTTTTTGATAGTTTCATTACCAATTCGACTGATCCCATTACACAGTTTTAACATTAGATAGTAGTCTCATACTGTCTCAGTGAGACTTACTGTCTACTCTTGTCACATTTTCCAAATGAGATCATGATTTCCACTTCTCAATTTAAATTATTTTTATTACTTTAAATGACTTTAAATCTCATTTGAGTGTTATCAAAAAGCGTTACTTTTTAAAAAATTAAAAATAGTCTAAAAAAAACCTTAAAATGTCTAAAAATAGTAACTTTATACTAAGAATGGGACTAAATGAGATCAAATGAAATCACTTTCTCATTTTTTTCAAGTCATGGTTCCATTTTAAAATCTGATATATAGTCACTTTATCTGTTTTTTTGATAGCCAGTCCCAGCGGGATTCACGCCAAGAAATGTATGAGACCAGATCAAATGGAATCAAATGTGAAATTCATGATCTCGGCGGCCAGTCTATATGAGATTCAGCAGATCAGCTAGTTTAGTCTGAAGATACTGTATATAATGATGAAATCAGCTGTTATTATATAAATCATAGTTTAAATTCAGCTGATTCTTATCATTAATAAAACAGCTTTAGTAAGATCTTCTTATAATTAATTCTTTAATCTCTGCATTGCTATTTTACTGTGATATATCTCTAAGAAATGTTATATAAAATGCAATAACTCTTATCTTTTCTTCAGTGATATTCATTATAATTCTCTTATAATTCAATATAGATAAGTTATATAATAATATGATAACAGTGTCAGAGAAATTGATGTTATAAGAATCAAAGATTAGAATAAAAATATTATTTCACTTTGAGCACTTAACAGTAGACTGACCGTGTAACCGTGTCTGAGATCAGAATCAAACTTTACAGTTATTATATTATTTAAAAGTATTACTTCTGATTATAATTTGTATTCATCATATTAATTTCAAATCATATTATTTTAAATATTAAAGATCTCAGATTCACTTTTCAAATAAAAATCTAGTTCTGAATAAAGAATATATTTGAATTCTTAGTCACATTTTCATTCTGATCTCATTATTCAGAATAATATTAAATAAGATTATAAAATCACTTCTCACTTACATAATATCATAATATAGTGCTTATTTATTAAAAATTCAACAGAGAGTTTGTTACTAAATATCATTACTTTTCTAAATACAGATTATAATTTATATAATTTTAATCATGAAAAAAATATAAAATACAAAAAAAAAACAAAAAACAAAAAATAAAACAAAAACAAGAAAAAATCAGAATGAATAAAAAAAAAAATAAAAGAAAAAGAAAAAAATAAAAAATAAAAACAAAAAAAATCAAGATCACAGAGCTGCAGTATTGTAAGAAATTCTGCTTCTTACAGATTCTTTACCTCTATTTCTATCTCTTATGTAATTAATAGAGCTAGCGGCTCTTGACTACACACAACTATATAGACTGGAGTTTGCGAATACTATTCATAACTCAGCTTGAATGCTATTATACATTTAATCTCTATATTTTATCTTTCTACTGTGAATACTTCTAGTAGTTAACAGTACATATCACACCAAGCTGCAAACATCTGAATAATTGCCTGCAAGCACTTATTCTTACATTTCAAGCTCAGTCAGTCAGCAATCATCTGTTATGACTGAAAGAACTAGAAACTCATATACTTCAACCTCTGTGAACTCTACTGCAGACACTCAGAAGCAGTCACTCAAATCATGAATAACTCTCATAAAAGAAGTCTTAGAGAACTTATCAATTACTTACAGAACATCATTCTCTGCATCTATGACAGAGGAATTCTCAGAACTCAAGAATGAATCAATCTTAGTAAAGAACATTCTTGAGCATCTCTCACAGAATCAAGCTATTTTTCTACAAGAAATACTTACTGTCTGCAAACACTCTTAAACTGAGTCTCTAGACATAATCTTCAGAAACATCTGCAAACTGAAAAGAAACTTTCTTAAGCTGTGATCACTTAAGATTATCTATCAAATCACAATCTATAAAAGCTTTTATAAGTTTGTATTTGAAATTGACTCACAAGTCTGACTGTGTGATATGAAAGATGAAGAAGCTGTCATCTATGTAATAACAGACCTCTATTACACTGAAGTCAAGAACTGGCTGAATTATCTAGAGAATGATTATAAGAGATTCTGATAATCTGTTCTCAAGATCTATTTAAAGAATAAGTTGAAAGACTCTGTGAGCTGAACAGAGAATATCTGAGTCATGATCATCAATATTAGAAAAAGAGATGAGAAATCTAATAAAGACTACTCACAGTGCTTCATGAAATTGTGATGTAAATTGAGATCTGTGAAAACAGAGCTCTGAAACAAGACCTGAATGATGATATTTATAAAGAGACTGAATAAAGATATGCAGAACAAGCTCATTGAGCAAGACTCTAAGTTCTTAACTCTGAAGAAACTGATAACTGTTATTCATTGCTTATGAATCACTGTGAGAGTCACAGACCTGCAGAGAGTGAATCATTGATTAGCTCTGTAAGAGTCAGAATAACAGAGAACAGATTTGTTAGAAAAAGATGATAAGATATAAAGAGATTTGTATCTGACTACTGAGCAGAGAGAGAGAGCTTTATAAGCTTCTGTGAACAGAGTATATAACAGAGAGATTAAGAAAAAGAGACTCTGCTTCATTTATTATAAATCAGAACATCTCTATGCAAACTGTTCAGACAAATCAAAATAGAAATTTGAGAAGTTATGAACAGAGTCAGCAACAGCCTTCTTAAGAGTCTTGAAGCTGATACCTGAATCTGTTACTCTTCTGATGAAAATGCTTACTTATGAGAAGAGACTGTACTGCAGTGCTGCTGCTCTGCAAGTATGAGAAGTATTAATGAACTCAGAATCTCAGATTACTGTGATATCTCTAAAGCTTATAAAGTGAATGAGCTGAAAGATGAAAACTGAGAATCTGCTCTTATAATAAGCAGAGTATAAGATCTCAGACCTGAGAGCTGAGAAACTTGTAAGAGTTATCTTTGAATTACAAGATCTCTCTGAAATCTGAAGAAGATTTGTAAAAACTGTGATTATCACAGACATTGCAGATAACATGTACTTGAGACTTGCATGACTTCAAAGATACAATCTACACATAGCTGTCTGCAAGTCAGGTTTATACTTTCAATCAGTGTTGACAGACTCACTTACAGAGATAGAATCAGTTGATGCTGCAGAGTTGATCAGAGAAGACAAGCTCATCTATATAATGACTTTACAAGTGTCTGAGAATCTTATGATCATGAAAACTGAGCTTCAGATATCAGAGAAATACTGAGATCTTACAGAGATGTTCAGCTCAGCAAAGGCAGCTGAGCTTCTCTCTCACTATGAGAAGAATCTGATAATAGATTTGATAGAAGAATAGAAACCCTTCTAAGAATCAATCTATAAGCTCTTTCATTATGAGATAGAGGTCTTGTGAATCTATGTAAAGAAGAATCTGAAG